TGTATCTACTCTTGGGGATCATCTAAACAAGATGAATGAATAGATCTAATTCAGTTCTGTGCTTTCTTTCTTAAGATTTACTTGAAAGAAAGTGAGAATGATAGGTCTTACATTTACTGATTGGCTCCTCACATGGTTACAACAGTCAAGCCTAGGCCAGACCAATACCAGGAGCCAAGAGCTCCATCCTGGTCCCTCTATGAGTGGCAGGGACCAGTTACTCGGGCCATCTTCTGCAGCTTGCTCAGGTGCATCAGTAGGGAGATGGGTCAAAAATCAGAGGAGCTGGAGCTCAAACTGGCACTCTGACATGGCATGCTGGCACTGCAAGTGGCAGCTTAATATGATAAGCCATAATGCTAGTCCCTAGACTCTAAAGTCAAGATCAGTACATGGGTCCAGGGTAGCAGACCTCACATTGTAAAGGTCACAAATACAACAAGATGACTGCTGCCTGTTGGTAGTGCCAGTGAAGTTGCCCAATTACTGTTGGCACTGCTCATGCACAGGCTGCAGCAGGCCCACTGGCTGGGCCCAATGATTACACAGCCTTTTCTTCCCTGACTGGACACTGGGTACATACGAGGAGAAGCATAAGCATCTTGCCTAGAACTTCTTACTTGCAGAGAAATCGGAGGTCATGGTCAAGTCCACCCTAGCCTTCCAGCTGCCTCTGACCTGCCTACTGCAGTCTGGGAGTTGATGTCTCCTTAGGATCTTTCTTCTTTTTCTTCTCTATCAGCAAGTAGTCACTACATTTTCCACAGCTTGTGGTACCCCTGAGTGTAATGTAGGGAAATGATAATTAAATAATCTCCTTGAAGTTGTGAGAAAAAAAAAAAAGACATCTGCTTTGAATCACAAAACTGGGTTTGATCCATGAAATGCTGAGTCTCGCCATGAGTGGAGAGATTGATTTCTCTGGCACATGTGCTGTCTTGGCTGAGCCCAACCGATTACATCGGACACCAATGCACTGGGGCCTCAATCTCTCCCGGGGGCTTTGTGCAGAGGAGAAAAAGTGATCGTGTACAAATCTTAATCCTTCACAGAAGACTCTGGCAGGGTAAGAACTCATCCTGTATGTGCTAAAAAATAAATGAGCATTGGTGATAAGAAAAGCCATTTCTCGTTCTAAATGATGGATAGCAGAGAAATGAGTGTGGAGACCAAAAAAGAGAGCCAATTTATCAAGTATCTGCACGGGCAAAATGAGGAATGTTTACATGGCACATGCAGAGGAGAAAATGTGGTGCTGAGGCCCGACACAGTCATTTTTACTCCAGTGTCATATCTCACTGTGACAGGCTTACTCGATGAAAATAATAGCACAGTGCTCCACAGAACTCACAAGCTAACCTCTTTCCCATCACAGTTGGTGGGCACTGCAGTACCTTGTGGATAGCTGGTTTCCCTGGTATATTGCCTGCTGTCAAGAGCAGCTCAGTGGCCTTGTGCACGTGTCTTCAGCTCATGGGTAGGAAGGGGCAATATCCTTACACGGTGGGTCAGTTGGGAGTACTGAGTTACAGATCCATGAGTTCTGCCCTCTAAGATGGTTCAACTAGTGGGAGCCAGCTGTGTATAATCAACATACCCAGAAGAGTCACAGGGTGTCTGCATCCCTCCCCTACACTGACACTCTTGTCTCTCCTCTTGGGTTAGTCTTGCTTACCATCTAGACAGAGGCTGAGAAGTGCCACTCCCTTTCCTCCATGACTGCTTCATTGCATAAGCGCCTGTGGCTTAGAGTCAGTCCACCAGCCTTGAATTTATCTTAATCAATGTTGTCGATCAGCAACTTGTGAGCACCTTCCCTGTATCAGACACACTGTCCTGAGTGCTGAAAATACTCAGATGATGAGGATTTGATGCCTCTCCTCAGAGTTCTAACCATGGACACACTGAGACGTGAGGGGTTCATAAGCAGATGAACTTAAAGATAATGATGAATCCGAGGCTGGTGCTTCTCCAAGCATAGCCTTTATATGTAATGAATCATTCAAAACCCTCTATGCTACACCTAGCGGTCTGAGCTTCTTACAAGATACAACTGTGATGCCCAAAGCCCATTCATCTTTTGCTTGGGGCGCTCAGAACTCAAAAACAGAATCTCACTGGCCTCTTTGAAGGGTGACACAGTCATAAAGTTGACCTGACGATCATTCTAGGTTCATACTACAATGGACCAGGAAATCGGCAAGCATAAGCTTAACAAGTTTATACTTAAAACAGAAGCTATAAGGTACTCCTTTGCTTGTAACCCTCTTTGACAGTAATCCTCTAAGAGACCTCACTATGATCACACCTCCGACTGGAGCTTCCTCAGCAGGTTGCACCTTCTGCACTCGCCCCCTTTCACATCTTCACCAAGCAGTGAGAAGGATGTTTGACTAGAAGCTGTTCATAATCCTCCCCTGGCTTCCCATGACTCTCCACCTTAATAGCCAACCTTTCCACTGAGTCTCTCTATGCATTGATACTTGCTGCCTTCTTGAGTGTCCCTTGTTGAGTCTGTCTTGATAGTCTCTAGCCGCACTGGGTTTCCTGCCAGCATTCCCCTATCTGTGGACTGTGGCTTGCTGCCTCCTGCTTTCTTCGTTAGCAGGGCTGAGAATTTTTACTCTGGATCCCCCTCCTCCCACCCTGCCGCCTCCTCCACATCGCTTTCTGCTTGCCAAGGACTGGTTTAGACACCAGAGCGTTTGCTGTCTTGCTGCCAAGTGAGAACACATTGAGAAGACGGCTGCTTACAAGCCAGCAAGACAGTTCTTACCATCACCAATTGGCTGGTCCTTCATTTTGGACCTTGGGCCCTCAGAGCTGTGAAAAGAAAGCGTCTGTTGTTTCAACCACCCACTCTACAACATTTTGTTGTAGCAGCCCGGGCTGACCAAGCCATCTTTTCTTTGTTTCTTAGTTCTAAATGACTTATCTCAACAGCTCTAAGAAACAACTGCCAATATGTACTTCCTTATGATTTTACCAATACCCTGCTTGAATTATTTCTCTTCAGGGGAAGCATTATATCTAAATCCAAACCAAGACTATAGATGTCAGTGTAGCTCACAGAAATGATTTCAGCTACAATGGAAAGAAAAACCGGAACAGAAAATGGGCTATTCCTCTCCTGCCCCTGTTACTGGAAACATTCTAATAAATGACCAACACCAGGTTCAGGAAGGGAACTCTTGCAGGAAGGGGACTGTCAAATCATCTGTTATCTTCAATTTCTCAACATTAAGCAAGGTGAGGTAGGTACCTCTGAAAAGAATTTTAGTTGAGAATTTTTGGAGTCATTAGCCAACACACAGCAGCTGCTTATCCAGAACCCCCTAAAATGGCATGCAAAAAGTGTGTGTGTGTGTTGTGTGTGCATACATGTTTGTGTGTGACTTCACATGAGGAGCATCCAAAGCTCTCATAAGATTCTTCAAAAGGTTTGTAGCCTGCCCTGGCCTCCTCAAAAAGGGTGATTTATTGCATTCAATAGCCAACTCTCTAAATGTAACAGCTGAGTTTCAGGATTCTGATCCATCCGGCCTTCACCTATTTCTATGAGCCCCACAGGCCAAATCCATTATAAAGGATAAAATTCTCCCTCATTGATGGCAAGAATCAATGAAAGCTGCCACTCGCACACACACTAAACTACAAAAGGTAGCTGGTTGAATGGATGTGGCAGAGACCGGATAATGAGGCTAAGCCTGCATGGGAGGATGTTCCTAGAGCTTTTCTGCAGACAGCGAGATGTCACAGGCTGTCAGAAGCTTTCTCCATAACCGTCCCTTTCAGTCTTTGTGAGTAAGGGGCCAGGGAACATTCCCTTCCTGAGGGGAAAGGAGGAGGGAACGCACATTCCCTGGCAAGTATAGGAATCAGTGGGTCTGAGTCTACCCGAAAAGTATGTTCCTTTCCGAGTGCTTGAAATATGATTGCACAGGGGACTTGTATTTCAAAAACAGCTTTACTGGGGACATGAGCAAAGCCAAAGAGGAAGCAACATGACTATCAGTCCTGAGATAATACAATTTTAAGCCCTATGACTGTGTTTTCTGGGTTAGGGAAACAGGCATCTGAGAAGAAATGGGGAGTCCACGGGTGAGATTTGGGCTTGCATTACATTTTTGAAAACTGTAAATTCTTTTGGACATGTTCTAATAGTCTGGTTGTGGTTTGTAGTCTCCCAAAAGCCAACGCGGCATACAAAAACATTCTAAGACAACACTAGTTATTAGAGAAATGTGAACCAAAGCAACAGCGTGATACCATTTCTTACCCTTTAGGATAGGTGTTACTATTTTTTTTTTAATAAAAGACAATAACAAATGCTAGTATGAATGTGTAGAAACTGGGATCCTTATGTGTAGCTGCTGGGAATACAAATGGTGCAGCTCCTGAGGATTCCTGTATGATGCTTCAACAGTTGATACAGAATTATCAGTTAGCAGGCAATTCCACTTCTACACCCAAAATAATTAAAAGAGATCTGTATACCCTTATTCAGTGTTATTCTGAATATCCCCAATATGGAAACAACCCACAAGTTCATCAACAAAAGATAAACAAGACATGGCTTGCCATACCAAAGAATATTATTCAACCTTGTAAAGAAAGAAAATATGACCCAGGTTGCAATGCACATTCATCATGAAGACATAATGCTAAGTGAAATAAGCCTGACCCTAAAGGACAAAAACTGTTTGATTCCAGTTAGTGCGATACCTGGAACTAGCAAATTCAGAAACAAAGTGGAATGAGTGTTACCAAGGGCTTCTTGGAACAGGCAGAGTTTCAGTTTGGGCTAATGAAGAATTTCCTGAAATGGAGAGTAATATGGATGAGTCGAACATCATGAAGCTGCTTAATGCCATGGAGCTGCAGCTTCAAACCTGGTTGAAACGGTAACTCTTGTGTCAAGTACATTTTGTCATAATTTAAAAAACAAAACAAAACAAACAAAACAAAGCCCAGGGAGTAAGGATGCAGCCAATACTTACAAGATATAGGCGATCACCCCAATGGACCAGCAGTCAACGGCTTTGCTGTAGGGCTTCTGGGCAAGAACTTCAGGAGCTGTGAACGACAAAGACAAGGCATAAGCCTGATCATGAATGCATGACACTGAAGACACTTTTCAGGGATTTCTTGTCTCCTCTTTGTGTGCTATACAGGCTGAACTTTCCTCTTACTCTAAAAAGTTCAGTAAAGAGATACAACCCATTGTAATTGTTGACTTCTCTTATTAGAAAATAAAGAGGGGTGTGTGTGTGTGTGTGCAGATGATCAAATTCAACTGCCTGTTCATCAATCCAATACTTCAGACTGACCTAAGGAAGCAATGTTCAAGTCTGGGGTCTGCACACTTGCAAGTGGCTTCACAGGAAGTCAGCTTCAGGCAGCATTTCTGATCCTGGTGTTGGGCTTTGCTAGGTACTGTGGAGACACAGAGTCAAGACTCCATCCTCCGTATTTTTGTGGTGCATAGGGTAGCAGAGCTTAATGCAGAATGGCTTTTGGGAATCCTACTCCAAGCCTGCCTTCCCTCCTTTCTCTAAGGATTTGGGCAGGTCACCTGTCAACACACTCATTTCTTCTTCTCATCTGAAAAAAAAAAAAAAACAAAAAACAAGACAGATCTCACTTCTTTGGTCCTATACCACTATTTATTGACAGCAGCCAACTGCTTTGGTACTCTGTTGTCACAGCCTGTGTCACGTGTCCTAGCCCGTGTCTGGTGACCAGCAGCGTCTGGCAGTGGTGACACTCAATACATATATATGCAAGGACATAAATACAAGAAGCGGTGAATCTCATCCATAGAGTACAGTCTCCTCTGACCTTACCCCCAGATGCATCTGACTCAGTGGTCTTTAGTAGACTATCCAAAAACAGTCAATAGGAGAGAGAAAATTTCACACAGGCTAAGTAATAAGGTGCCTGCTATATGTGGAAATGTGCTCAAGGGTTGTGGAAGCACTGACTCCCTGCAGCACTCTTGGAGGAAGCCAACCATCGTTACTCCCAAAGCACAGATAAAGATCATGGAGAGGTCATACAACTTGGCCCAATGTCACCCAACTGGAGAGTTGTCTCTACAGCACCATTCTCTCAGAAGGCACCTGGATTAATGCCTGCCCTCAGCTAGTTCTTGGGCTAACATTTTCTCCTGTAATCATTTCATTAACTCTGACAATGATCGTAATCTGTTGATTGCAATCCCACACCTGGACTTGGCTGAGTAGGGTCAAGCAGTGAGCCACTGTCCTGGTCTTCCCACAAATATAGGCTGCTTGTCAGCCTGCTAGTTTTTCTCTTTTCATGCAAACCAATAGGGAAATCCTTTTGTTCATTCTTCTGAAGTCTAGTATCAAATTGAGAACAAGAAGACACAGAAACCGCTGAACACCTCTGCTTGTGAGACTGAGGAAAACAACTTTCAGATCTAATTTTATACCTCAGTCCCCAATTCAAAGTTCTATGGGTTGTTTTTTTTTTTTTAAAGAACATAATCAGCTTGTGCATCTTTTCTCTGCTATGTCTGCCTCCAGTGCAAGGGAAGGAAAATCATAAAGGAACTGAAGAGATAAACTGAAACACTTGGGCATAGTTTAGTGGCTTCTTCCTGGCCCATAAATGATCACAGCGTATTTCTGAGACCTTCTACTACAGGGCTGAACAAAAGGGCACCCTAGGAAATGCCTTTCAGACTTAGGAGGTCCGCTGTCTCACTGAGCCCTGGTCACAGCAGCTACACACATACAAATGTTGTAAGAAGTCACTGCAGGTGCATGGCACTCTGAGGGTCATGCTTGGGACATGATGAAAAGTTCATAGGTGGCAGAGCACTGTCTGACCAGGCTAACCTCCCAGGCAGCTGATGGCAGATGTCAGGAGAGCAAAGTTAAGATGGCTGTGGAGAGGGACTGGGTCCATGTCACATGGATCAACAGGGCTCTTTAGTGAGATGGCCAGTGAACCTGGACAGGCCATGCCACAGAACCAACAGACAGTGCAGAGATATTTGAAGCTCAGCATGAGACTGAGAGCAGCAATTCCTGACATGCACAAGGGCAGGAGCACAGCTCTCAGCATCTTGACAGACACTTTCATAGCAGGTGAGCAAAGATTGGACCAAAGTCCCAAGTCACACCATGTAGAGTGGAAATAGGAGATCATGGTCACTGCAAAGCAGGATTCACAGAGCTAATTCTCTTTGTTCCCTTGAGCTTTCTGTCTTCACAGTTCTCCAGCACTGTGAATGCTGAAAACAAGGGTTCTTTGAAAGAAAAACATCTTCCTCCTCTACTTCATCATCATGTTTAGAAAGATACATGTGCCCATGCACCCATGGAAGGATACTTGCATAGCAAACATTCCACCTTCCCTCTGTAAAACACACCAACACATGGGGCAGTGGCACAAGGTACTGCAAAGACTTGAAAAGTAAATGACAGCAGCTGGGGCCATCTTGGCTTGGGCCTGAAGGGCTTGGAGGGCTGGGCGCACAAATGGGACCCCTCACCTCATCAGCTGCTTCTGGCTGGTCAGGAGTGGGGGGCGTGGCATAGCCTGTTGTTTGGGAGAGGCTGGGGCATCTTGGGTGGAACAGCTAGGGTGCCAGTTGGCACCAGGCTCTACCAATTGGTGGAACTCTTGGGACTTGGGGCTGTGGAATTACTGCCTAAGGACATCCATGGGCATTCTTCCCTGTCAGTGAGGAATGAATCCTGAGGGGCTCCTAACGACAGGGCCACTGTACTTGCAGGTAAGCGAGGGGACTGAAACCTGGTGGCTCGAGGGGAGAGACCAGAAGTTCTGTATAGGTCAATCACCTGCTCACCTGTTAGTCATGAGGTGAGCTTGTTAACATGGAACACTGCTAACCACAATACAACAGTCCAAGTGAAAGTTAGGACTGAGGGCCTGTCCAGCAGGACTAGATCCCAATACCTGACTGAATACAGGAACAGGGGATGGGTTGCATTAGGCAGGGTCATGACACTAACTAGGTCTGTGGATAGATTCTGTGGGGGATATTTGGGCCCAACCCTGTGAAAATACAAGTCCCACTGGTTCACTTAAAAGTTGGGAGTGCTGATGGGCTGAACTAGGTGTGACCACAGAACCCACCAACACTCATGGGTACTGGGAACGAGAATAAGCTGGGGAAGTCCAGGCTGCAGCATCTGCATGTACATCCTAAAATAGAGTGTTGGGCGGGCCAATACACAACATTCACCAGCTCATACAAGGCCAAGATGGAGGGGCAGACTATTTTGAGCAAAGGCTTAGCACCTACTGGCATATGTGAGATCTGGGTCTCAGAGTGGGCAGAGTGGTAGAACTTGGGTAACTCCCCTAAGTGTGCCATAACTCCTGCAGGTGAGCATGTGGTCCAGGCCTGGGGGTCGGGCAGGCTGGGCAAAGTAGCTCCTTCTGTTGGCTAGTGTACGGCTTAGTTTTAGAAGGGGGTGGGCCTGGCAGGGCCAAACAAACCTTATGTCACTGGCAAGTACAGAAATATTGTCACCACAACCTAGTCCTCTTTTGGAGGAAAATGATTTCCAGATTCCAATCAGACAAGGTGCAAATAAACTTGGCTGCCTCTAACAGTATGGGTCAGCAGGTACAGGCAGAAGAGAATGAAATAGAGATGTAGGGTAAAAAAGAAATGGGTGTAAGAAACCGGCAACAGCCAACTGGGAGGTATCTGTACAAGAGGCCTTGAAAAACATTCACAGATATTGTGTGGTATGAAAAGCTATGCATGGATTTCAAAAATTTCAAACTTTATTTTCACGTTATTTGAAAGGCAGAAAGATGAAGAGAGTCAGAGACAGATGAGAGAGAGCTTTGATTTGCTGGTTCACTCCACCAATGCCTACAACAACTGGAGCTGGGCTGACCCAACCTAGGAGCAAGTTACTGCATTCAGGGCTTGCACATGAGCACAGTGATCCAAGTGCTTGAGCTGTCATCTGCTACTTCCCAGGCGACATGTTAACAGGGAGCTGCTTCAGATGTGGAATAGCTGGGACTAGAACCCAGGCACTTCAATATGGGAGGCAGGTCTCCCATATGTTGACATAGGCTGCTGGGCCCAACATCTCATAGAGTGCCAATTAATTTTTTTAGCACCAGAATAAATTAATCTTTCAATGGCTCTTTTCCAAGAAAACTTTCAAGCTATCCTCTTACTAGAAAATCTGAAGATCAGATATCTGCTAACCACCTTTCTTTGAGAAAATGATTTTAGACAAGAATCTGGAGGATAAAAGAGGTCAGATTTGTCTTAATTATCTGTGGGTATGAGTGTGTTTGCCACTTATATTACACCCCTTCTGAAACTATTTCTCAAGGGGATTCTTCAATTACTAGGTTTGTACTCAAAGCCAGAAGAATTCTTACTGCATGAGCCCTCAGAACCTCTTTCCTGGCCAGATGCTGGCTGGTTTCATTTCAGCTTTCATTACTATCCTTGACAGAAAAACAGCATCCCAATATAAGGGGTACCCAAATAGGTAGAGTTGAGAAGAGAAAGTTCTAGAAGCCACTGAGGCACAGAGGGCTGTCACAGAGAATAAATTGTAACATATTACATAAAGAATTATAAGAAAGGGGTTTGGAGCCACCCAAAGCAGAAATGCTAAATGTTTTGGAGCAGGGAAAGGCTAATTACCATGAATCAATCATCATGCTTGTATATACAGATCAAATCACTACACCATATCCCACAACTATGTATTATGGTCAAGTGCCAGATAGAAAGAAATCAAGGAAAGAAACAGTAGCACATTGGCTTACTTAGCATCCACCAGGAAATAGAAGGGACCCTCCACGTGAGCCACACAGCACATCACAGCATCCCCTGGGCCACAGATGTGTGTGGACAGATACAGTCCCTCTCAGAACCCCAGGCCTTACTCCTGCTCCTTATAAAACAGCAGGCTTAGGATTTAAAGTTGGTGGATTTACTGCAATGAGACTCACTCCCAAGCCACTTATGGAAAATTCCACTTGGTAGGAAATGTCTCCTATTAAGTGAGCTTTTTTCTATTGATTTAGAGCAAGTGTTGTTGGTAGAGGGAAAGACTCCAGAGATTACAAAGGGAAGCCTTTCAGAAGCCTTTAGTCTTGTTTTTAAAACAATTAAGCTGCTGATTTTTCTTACCAAAAGAGAGAGTGGAAAAAGGCTGAACCAAGTGGGACTGGAAACTCAGAGAGCTGCCACTGGAAACTCAGAGTTGCTGTCTGTGGAGTGGGAATGTGGCAGTCAGCCTTCAGCATCTTGTAAAGTAGAAAAGTTTGCCCTTTCCCTGGGCACCACTGAGGAGGTGTCAAAGAGCAGTTTCTGCCCAGAGGGTGGAGGAGACTGAACTAATGCAACCCATTAGAAGTTCAAGGCAACTGGTTCTCCCTATAGTGCTCGTTCCTCCGTTCCCCTTGCTACTTAACAGATGCCACCACCAGAAGGGAGTAGGCTTCAAGTTCACAAGATAAAAGCTAGTGGATTTGATCTAAAATGCCAGTGTATTCCTTATCTGAGTCTCTGGATTTGACACTCAGTTCCACTCCTGAATCCAGCTTCTGGATAATGCACACACCCCCAGGAGGCAGTGAGTGATGGTTCAAGTAGTTGAGCCCCTGCCATCCACACGGGAGACCTGGAATGAGTTCCTGGCTCCTGGTTTCGGCCTGGCACAGCCCCAGTTGTTGTGGGCATCTGGGGAGGGGCTCAGTGGATGGGAATCTCTCTCTCACTTTCATTCTAGCTCTCTCACTTTACCCTTGGTTATTTCCATGCCAGAGCCCTCAGGGCAGAACTCTGCTGAAAATCCTGGTTTTATGAGTGAAGGTAGAAGATACTGGCCCTTACCCCATGGTGCTCCTATTCTCCTGGATGCTGAGCTTTAGACATAAACCTCAGGAGCCAGCAGGTGTCACAGGAGCTGTCCTTCTAAGAAGGAAGATGAGCCCAGGACTGCAAGATCATAGCAGGGAAGGATAGGAAAGATGATAGCGGGGAAGGGTAGGCATCTTTGATTTTCAAGTTAAACATATGCGCAAATAGAAGCCTGAAAACAGTTTCCTCTACACCTGACTGTACTATTGCAGAGGGAAGAAGTACAGGTTGGGTTCTGGGCTGGTACATTTTGGGGCATTTGTGATCATTCCATGTGTCAGTGTCATGTCTTCACAGACACCTGCTACAAATGAATCCAAGCTCGGTGGAGGAGCTGTTCATGTTGCCCCCATGGTCGGGAAGATCTAGAGAGCCTCCTGTCCAGAGATAGACACTTGGATTCCTGACCTTGTGGGACTGGTGAGAAAAAAACACAGGTCTCCTGCCTCTGGATAAGGCAAAAGGGTCGATCTCAGCCCACATAGCAGAGCTGTTACAAGTGAATGGTGCTGTGTGTCACAGAAGGGGTGAGAAGATTTCCTTTAAACAGCAGCAGAGAAAGATGACATTTCTGCTTGGCAGTGATCTACTCAGATATGGGAGCTAACATAATAAAGATCAAGGAAAGGAGCCATCAGCATTCATGCTGTCAGAAGCTCAGACACCCGTGTCGGTGGGGGGGGGGGGAGAGATTCTGGCTGGAGTTGGGATTTGCACATTGAGCAGGAGGTAACATTCAATGTGCCCGGTCAAGTCTGCTTCCTGGCAGCTGGGAGAGTTTTTAGCAGGGCTACCTCCAGCATCTTCCCTGGCTGCATACCCACCACCTGCATCTTCCCTTCCAAGTGCTGGTGCTACCTCCCTCTCCCTCTAGTGCACTCTGGTACCCTCAGTCAGTTCTGTTCTTCACGCCACTGAGCCATTTTGAAGATGAAGCAGTTGTGACATGCCAGTCTGCTGTGACACCATAATTATGCAAGGATGAGAGGGGTCCCTGCCGTGGTTTACAGGTCTCTGGGAATTTTCCAAAATGCTCCAGTGCCCTGCACCCATTCAGTTTCAGGCCAGCTCTCTTCAGCCTGTAGTGGACGGTTTTGTGGTTGGACACACAGACACATGGGAATGACACTGAACATCTAAGTACTGCCTCCTCTCTTCCCAGTGGGCCTGCTGTTCTCTCCTCATCTTGGGCTTTTTGAATGAGTGACTTCCCTGGCTGGGACTGCCCTCCTCCCACTCACACAGGCTGGCCTTTTTCTTACCCTTAGTCAGACAGCCAGGCCCTGTCCCCCTCCTGCCAAGCAGTCCCCATGGGTGCTCAGGCCTTGCCACCCTATCCTGAGACATCCGTTTTTTTTTTTTCTTCTAAATGCTTATGAGATGAAAAGACCCTGCTCTTTTACCTGCTTCTGCATTTCAGCTATTACGTCCGTGCTCAGGGGACAAGCACCATGTTTTCATTCATGACCTTACCCCCAGTGTCCAGAACAGCACTGGAGATGCAACAGATAATTCATATATGCTTGTGGAATGAGTGAATATACCGATGCAAATGAGGATGTCAAAAATTTTCCCTAGTAGTCCCAGTAGTCTTTTCCCTAGCTCCCTGGAAGACAAAAGATGAAGCTCAACACCCAATGTCACTTAGCAGTCCTCTCCATATCCTGTCTGGTCAGTACACAGCACTCAGGGTTCCAATTTTTTGGGAAAAGCTTCTAATTTGCCAGTATGCCTCAGGGGTGGCTGACACACAGCAGTGATTTGGTCAAGTTCCAGAGCAGGTTCCTCATGTCGATATTTTATTCCTGGCTGCCTGTGTCTCAACATTGTGAATGTGTTATTATGTCTGCACCTTGTTGTAATCTTGCTGTCTCGTCAGAAATCACTGTAGAGCAGACATAGGCAATATTTATGGCATTAAACCCGAGGATTCATTAAAATGAACTTCAAGCTGTCAGTCAGGCTCGTACCCAGATCAAACAGGATTTCTACCCAAGTGTTAAAAAGGTTTCAGGGAACATCACTGCTCTGCAGACTTGCTCAATGTCCCTGTCCTTGTCTCCTTGTTCTTCCCATCCAGAGATGAAGGCGGATGTGATCAAGAGCCAGGCTCAGGTGCTTAAGATGACTGATGGCTGTGTCACACAAGGACACGTGCACACACATACAAACATGCACACACATGCACACTGTCCTTACCAACATAGCCTGGGGTTCCGCAGGCTGTGGACATCACATCTCCTTTGCCCTCCATTTTGGATAATCCAAAGTCACTGATCATTATTTTGGATTCCTCATCTTGACTGTAATATAACAGATTTTCAGGCTAGAAAAAAAAAAGGAAAACAACTTTACAAATTATATTTGAAGCAAAATCTTGGAACCTAAGACTACCCATGATCTTCAGGCATAGTAGATGCAGCAACTATCAGTGTCTAAAAAAGGCAGTGTAGGGGCTGGTTTTGTGACATAATGTGCTGGACATCCCTTATGGGCCCTGGTTTGTGTCTTGGGTGCTCCACTTTTGATCCAGCTTCCTGCTGATAGCCTGGGAAAGCAGAAGAGGATGGCCCAATCTCTGAGCTCCTAAGACGATGTGGGAGATACAGAGGAAGCCCCTGGCTTCAGTTCCTGCAATTATGGCTATGTGGGTAGTGAGCCAGCAGATGGTAGATCTCTCTCTGCCTCTCCTCTCTGTAAATCTGTTTTTCCAATAAAAATAAAATAAATATTTGTTTAAAGCAGTAGAGAGGGCCCTGCACTTGGGTTGCCATAGGAAGTGTTCCATAGCAGGGACCACACTGGCTGGACAGAGATCTCCTCTGCAGGGAAGAACCAAAACAAGAAGCAAATAGTGGCATTTCAAGGTGAGTGCTAAGGGGAAAAAACTGGAACTCAGTAGCAATATGCAGTAAGCCCATAGGACACAGAGCTATAGAAACAGCAGAGTGTGCTGGCAGCAAAAACTCAGAGCCCAACAGAACAGGTGGGATTCCCACTCCAGGAATCAAGGTGAATGGGAGAGCCCCAGCAGGGACACTGAACATCAGGGAGCTTAGCTGTAAGGAACACTTGCAATCATCCCAGGCTTGGAATCCAGCAAAGGGGATCTGCTTGCAGCAAGCTCAGCAGCTCTGCCTCAGAGAAGGAACTCAGCATCTCCTCAATAGTTCTCATAACCAAGGTCATGGCCATGTGTGATGGCACCATCAAAAAAACAATCACTAAGATCAATCTGCCCTCAGGGACAGAAGTCCCTCCATATCCCCACCCTTACAACCCCCCAGACATTCTACCATGTGAGAAAAAGGTCTGTAACCTCAAAAATATGCCCAGTTGAACCCAGCAGTGACAGGGGTGGTAGGGCCTCAGCCCAGGTGGTTGGGACCTCATGGGGTACATGATCCAGCATGGCAGTCCCTGCTGTCAGGTCCTTACAACTTTGGGCACTTGATCCTACAGACATGGCTAACTCCTTGTGCCTCCTGCTCTCCCTGTAACAGTGCCCTCTCCCCTAGTGTGCCTGGACTCTGGGGAGGTAAATGCACAGCCACAAGTAGGTTCAGCTTCCTTTGCCAAGCAGGCTTCGGTTTCACTGAGTGCCCTGGACTTTGGCTGCATGGCAAGCTGAGGCTGCCTTAGCCCAGGTGGGCATGTTTCTTTGTGTATACTTCTCGCCATAGTTCTTTTCTGTAGCAGAGAGCACCACTGTCATGTGTCTCTGACTCCAGCCCCAGTGCAACTTGAATATGCCTGGGCTTTGGTAAGAGAGTGTCTAGCCATATACGTGGACTGCTCATTCTATTTTCCAGTGGACCTCAGCTTTGGTGAACACTTTAGATCCTCACCTCTCCATGCACAGCCCATCCAAAATTCACCTGGCATGCTTGTTAGTGCCCACCTTGGTGCTTAGGCCATGCAATTTCATGAGTGCCCTGGATTTCAATCTCAATGCAGACCAAGCACAGCTTAGCTCTGGTGGGGCACATCCACTTTGGCAGAGCAGTTATCTGCCTCAGCTGGCTGCTGTTTGGTGAGCACCCAAGACTACAGCCCTAATATGGCCTGAACCTGCTATGACAGATGTGATCAATAATCCACATTTGCTCAAGCTGTTCAGCCTCCTTCTCCAACCTGCCTGAGTCTGGGTGAGTGATCCAGTTTCCAGCTTCCCCATGGCGAGTCAGCTGCAGCTTTGGTGGGTACTCACAGAAGCCCAGGATACAGGCATCTCATCCCCTGGCTTGCACATTGTGGAGTCCAGCCCCATCAGAGTCCAGGCCTAGCATGGTATTGGTGGGTACACACGGCAGAGAGCATGTGCCTTGGTCTTGGGCCTGGAACTGCTATGACTGCTTCTATCACTACTACAACCTTAAACTTCTGTTGAGACTAAAGATATCACCCATCTCTACTTCTCCTTTAAGCCCTGCCTCTCCCCACTGCCATTGCCTTCATGAACAGTAGTATACGAAACAGAAAGGCTAGGCTTTAGCAGCCAACTGAAGAACAAATAGCAAGATAACCTTTCAAATCAACACACAAAGACATTTTTAGAAAGAAGCCTTCAATCCATGAATGAAAACATGAATGCCTCTCAGAATGAGACAAATAATTCAAAATTAACACAGATATACCAAATATGACAAAGCAAGGCAATATGATGCACTCAAAAGAATCCAATCACACTTTAAGATAAAGAATCTTGGGCCTGGTGCAATGGCGCAGTGGTTAAGGTCCTCGCCTTGCACGCCCGGGATCCCATATGGGTGCCGCTGGTTCTATCCCTGGCAGCCCCGCTTCCCTTCCAGCTCCCTGCCTGTGGTCCGGGAAAGAGGTCGAGGACGGCCCAAAGCTTTGGGACCCTGCACCCGCGTGGGAGACCTGGAAGAGGCTCCTGGCTTCGGATCAGCATAGTATCGGCCATTGTGCTCACTTAGGGAATGAACCATCGGACGGAAGATCTTCCTCTCTGTCTCTCCTCTCTGTATATCCGCCTTTCCAATAAAAAAAATAATAATGAAAATAAATCTTTCAAAAAAAGATAAAGAATCTTATACAATGGTTAAAGAATCCTAAACCATGATTACTTAATACTTAATGTAAGAAAACACAGATGACAGACAATGTGAATGAAATCAGCAATGTGATGCATGACAGCAATAAGAAATTTAGCAAAGAGATAGAGGTCTTGGGTAAAACAGAAATTCAGAAATAAGAGCTCAATAAGTCAAATTTTCAAAAATACAGTTGAAATCTTCAACTGGCTGGATCAAGCAGAAGAAAAAACATTTGGACAAGTCTTTGGTAATACCCAAGTCACACAAAAACAAAATGACAGAAAATTTAAAATAATGAAGACAGCCTGTAGGACCTCTGGGGTACCATTAAAGATCTATTATTTGCTGAATTGTGATTTCAGAAGGAAAAGTAAAAAGGCACAGAAAATATATTTTATTAAACAATACTTAAAAGTATCCCCAAACTGGAAAAAAATATGGACACTCAAGTACATGAAGTCCACAGGACCCAAAAGACACATGATCAGAAAAGAGCCTTACCACAGTGTATTATTACCAAACTTTCAAAAGCACCATACAAACAATTAGAAGCCATGCAAGAGAGAGGTGTCATGTTACTTTTAAGGGAACTCTATTATACTAACAGATTTTTTTCATCCATTAATCCATCCTTACAGGCCAGAAGGAAAATGGAATGATTTATTCCAAATTCTGGCTAAAAAAGAAAGAATCATCAGTCAAGGATACTTCGCCCAGCAAATTTATTTTTCAAAAATGAAGGTAAAATTTAGACTTTGACAAGCAAGAACTTACCACTACTAGATCAGCATTACAAAGCATACTTAAAGATTAAGAGTCCTATGTACAGATAAGACCATCATAAAAATACTGGGAGGCATAAAACCCACTGGAAAAAGAGCAAAGAATAATCAAAATAAACAGGAAGAACATAAGAGAAAGAATGAAAGGATGGAGCCAGAGTGTATTGGTAATAATTTTGAATACAAACCAACAAAATCCCCCAAGGAAAAATTAGAGATGGGCTGACTAGGTGAAAAGAACAAGATCCAATGAACCCTACATTACTTACAACAGAGTCACTTCACCTGTGAAGACACCCATGGATTAAAATGAAAGGATGGAAAAATATAATCCATGCAAATGGAAACCAGAAACAAAGAGCAATAGCTATGTGGACATCAGATAAAATAGACTTTTAAGTCAAACTGAAAAAGAGAAAAAGAAACTAATAGCCAAGAGATTAGTTAAAAAAATGAACAGATGACTAATAAAAATGTGTATGTGCTTACTGCTGCAGTTTTGTAAACAATTTTATAAACCAAATATTATTATATCTAAAAGGAGAGCCAGGTCCAACACAACAGTAATGACAGATATCAACACTCAACTTTCATCAAAGTGACAGATCATTTAGATTAAAAAAAAAATCAACAACAAAACTCCAGAGTGAAATTATATTATAGACCAAATGGACTTAACAGACAATTTAAAAACATTCCATCCAATATTGCAGAGTGCGCATGGAACATTCTTCAGGACACACATTATAATAAGCTACAAAACAAATCTTAAGTGAAATCATAGCATGTATCTTTTAGATCATAATGAAAACATCCAATTAAGAAACTCTAGAAATGACACAAATGCATAGAGCCAGACCGAATAATTTGCTCTTGAATAAAGAATATGTTAATGAATAAACCAAAAGGGCAATTAAAAAATTGTCTTAAAAATTGGAAACATATCACACTAAAACTTCTTGGATATGACAAAATAGTACTAAGAGTAACACTTATAGAAATAAGTGCCCACATTAAAAAAAAAAAAAAAAAAGAAGGCCCAGTGCCATGGCTCAGTGGCTAAATCCTCACCACCATACAATTGCTGGGATCCCATAAGCGCATTGGTTCATGTCCCAGAAGCCCCACTTCCCATCCAGCTCACTGCCTGTGGCCTGAAAAAGCAGCTGAGGATAGCCCAAAGCCTTGGGACCCTGCACCCATGTGAGAGAGCTGGAAGAAGCTCCTGGCACCTGGCTTCAGATTGGCTCAGCTCTGGCTGTAGACACTTGGGGAGTGAACCAGCACATGGAAGATCTTTCTCTGAGTCTCTCCTACTCTCTGTAAATCTGCCTTTCCAATGGTAACAAATAAATCTTAAATTTTTTTTTAATTTAAAGAAATATATCAAATAAACAACCTAACAATGCATTCCAAGGACCTAGATATGAAAGAACAAACCAAACCCAATGTCAGAAGGAAAGAAACAATAAAAACCAGAACAA